TATGAGCTCAATATCAATTTTATTAAGGCAATACTTGATTCTAGAACATAATTTTTTAGGATTTTCTGCATGCCAATTATTTTTGTACACAAGGCCTTTCAAAATACTCCAAAAATTTTCGATAGGGCGACATTCTGGCAAGTTTGCAGGGTTATCCTCTTTCTCAACATAATGCACGGTTCCTTTGTTTAGGTACATGATTACTGTTTTTGCATAGTGAGATGATGCTAAATCTGGCCATACATATGCACCATCTGAATGATACTTATTGATAAATGGAATAAGTCTCTTCTTAATACATTTGTTTGAATAGATTTTTTGATTTTGGTACAAAATAAGGTTAGTACTTGGTACAAAATAAGGTTGAGAAATTCCATTTTCAGAAAAAGCAATCCATAGAAGTTTTCTTTTGAGTCTTTTGTTTTGTTTAGTATTTAACTGTAGAAGGAGTAGATTTTACATCACTAGTATAAAATATATCATTTCCATTGATACTGGAGTGATTTATTGTGAAATAAGACTCATCGTCAATGATTGGTTTACGATTTTTGAATTTCTGACACAATCAACTGAACTTAGTTTTAGCTACTGCTTTTTGCTTGTCAGAGCATTTTGGAATCGTCGTTTTTTTTCTTGATTTAATATTTGTTCTTTTTTTAATGTTTTACTAATGTGTTGCTGAGTACAGTTGAACTTTTTAGCTGCCTGTCGTTGAGAAACTCTGCCTTTATGGTAAAACATGAGTTTGAGCCTTTCAATGTTTGTCTTGGTCTTTTTTTTAGCTTTTACTCCACTTCCTTGAACTCTTTGGTACCCAGATTCACTTTCAGCATGTTTAAATATCTTGTAGATAGTACTTTTAGGTATATTCTCAACTTTAAAGTGGTCATAAGTGAACTTTTTACCAGCATTTTTGTAAATTAAATAAAATTCATACACTTGTTTTCTAATCTCTTCTTGTTTTGAATTTATTTTTTTATTCATGTTTCTATTTTAATATATAATTTTTCTAAATATTTAAAAACTAGAATAAAAATACCTAAAATAGTTTTCCTATTTTTAAAATCTTATTTCTTTAAGGAGATATGTGTCTTTAAATCGAGTCTCGTTTTCTAGTTGTCACCTGTTATTTGAATAACTTTTTTTTAAATTAGCCATTTTTTAAAATGCTATATCTTTTGAACTATAAGATAAATTTTGACAAATGGTTGTAAGTCTATGATGTAATAATTATTCTATTTTCCATATCTGTAAATAACATTACAAAATACATTATAAAACCATGTTTAAGTCGCAAATGTAGTCATGACCTGCACAGCGAATCACAGGGAAAATCGCAAGGTTAGTTATGACATACTGTGCGGGTCTCAGGGAGTGAAAGGGTTAAGCAAGAGTTTTAACAATAAATAAAGTAGCCAGGTTGGTAAAGAACAAAACATAATTTTTAACTATATTTTTGGAAAATGTGTTGCATATTTTCTTACTTTATGTAACACTTTGTCAGGTTTGCAATGATCATGAGTAAATTATTGTAGTCATTAAAATAACTGCCTACTTTACATCTGACGATATACCACATAAATCTACAATAAAATATTGTACAAATACAATTTTTATTTAGTTGAAAATCTCAAGTTGCATCAAAAACTAAACTGCTTTATGTAGCTCTATAAAATAAAAAAATTATTAAATTGAAAACTTCCCTTCTATAGTTTATAAAATTTATAAACTATAGAAGGGAAATAAAAGCTATAAAAACTATTAAAGAGAAAACCCAAACTATCTATAATATAAACACCCTTTGGTTTAGATTTTAGGGAAAAAATAATTTAAAAGTTATAGTAGTATAAACTAGTTCCTAAAAGAATTTGTGAAAGAGAGAATTTGTGAAAGCGAGAATTTGTGCTAAATTGATTTTAAAAAAAATAAATCTAGAAAATAAATAAGAAATAGAATTGATGAATGAGAAGAAAAAAAAAAAGAGAACTCGCTTTAAAATTGATTTTAAAAAAATTAAAAAAAAACAACCTAAAATTGATGAATGAGATTTTTACTTAAAATGACAAACATCATTTTACATAAGCTTACAAAACATCATATACATAGATTACAAACACTTTAGAGAACAACAAGCCTTTTATCTTAATGTCTTAACCATTATAAAGAACCAATTTGAAAATTCACTAGGTTATGAGTTTGCAATATTAAAAACATTAAAATATCTGAAAAGCAACCATCAAACAATAATGCATAATAAAATTTTTTATATGACTTTAATATTCATTTGTTATATAAGATCCATTTTTTGAAAAAATTAAATTGACACAAATGTCTAAGAAACACAAAGATAATTTCCTTGTTAAAAATAAAACAAAACTGATTTTGGAAAAGACTGTAATGTAAAAAAAATCTTGTCAGTTACTAGAGAGTAACTAGAGAGTATTTTGTTATTGTTGTTTAATTATTTTGGATAATATAACTATTTATATTGTATTTATGATAATAACAAAAATAATTTATAACAATTTATTTAACTCAAAACTGTAATTTATGGTGATTCTTTAAACTAAATTTTGCTCATAGATGACAAATCATTCAATTTTTAGTTCATAGTTCAAAAAAAAAAAAAAAAAAAAAATAAGCATCTGCAAGTTACAAGCTCGACAGGTTACAGACTAGGGTTGTTTGCCGAAAAACAAAACTTGCGAAAATTTCGCATCTTTATCTACCGTAATAGAATTGTTATTGCGGAAGTTGCACATGCAAAAATGCACATTCCGTAACGCGCTATACGAAAATATAAATAGTAAATAAAATTCCGTAATAAAGCATTGCAAAAGAAAACTTGCGAAACAAATCATTTCGTAAGAATACTTACGAAATAGTTCCTTACGGGAAAAGCATTAGAGAATGTGTAGTTACGAAAAAGACGCAAAAGATTTTATGTTACGATATATTTAAGATATTAACTGTTAACAGTTTAAATAATAAATAATAAAATTATAAAAAAATGTTGTCAAATGATTCTTCAAATGTTTATACAATTATACCTAATATATATATATATATATATATATATATATATATATATATATATATATATATATATATATATATATACACATACATATACAGTAAAATCCCGTTAAGTTGGACTCTCAATGAACAGATAAACAGTATGCCTTTTTTTTTAAAAAGTATAAAGAGGATGTGTGATAAACAATTAAATACTTTATTATAAAGAACGAGAGATCTCTCTAAAGGTAAATGATATCAGAAAGAGTAAAAAGAGAAGAAATATATGTGAAACAGCGGGATGTAAACCTGGGTCTACGTGGCCAAATGTCTTAACTGAATGAGCTATACGTTCATTCAACTAAGTGAATAGTAATATTTATTTAATATATAATTAAGAAACTATATAAAACAGAATTTACAGAAAGAGATACGTATGCAAATAGGATTCTATATATCAGGAAAATGAATAGTAATGTGAACCTTTAGATGCTTATAACTAATATCTGGACTCAAAAACTAGTTACTTTTAATGGAACACAATAGGCTGTAGGAGCCTCAGGGAAATTATATTCAGAAATGACTCAGAGTTAGCTAGAAATTATTACAAAGTATTTAGGACAGATGTTTAGTACAAAAAGCAAAAGATTTAAAGCAAAATGATTTATATTATTTGAAAAAGTTGTTTTACGTACATTTCATCATAATTTAAGTAGAACTTAGTAAAGCAAGGGAAACGTGTTGAATTAGGCACAATGAACTTAATCTTAAAAGAATAACTAACAGAAGAGAGGTTGTCACTATTGTGAAGGTGACGAAAGATCTGTAATATAGAACATGGAGGTCAAAAAATGCTATCTTAAGTAAAAAGAGTTTGATGAACAAAAGTTACAATGGCTGCGGGATGTGAACCCGGATCTCTGCGGCGAATTATCACGTATCTAACTGATTGAACTATACAATCTTATACTCAAACTTATATCTTATTAAAATTAAAAAACAATATTTTCTAAGATCTATATTTCGAAAGCGTATTCAAACAGGACTCTACATACCTTTAAAATCTGCTAGAACTTTAGTAACGTGCACACTTTTAGAAATTATTGAAATAGTTATATTTTATCAGAAATATGCTTAAGCTAAAGCATATTTTTCAGCCTCTTTTTACTATTTGCTTAAGCATATTCGAACCTGTTTCGAAAATTTCATATGCTTTAAAAAAAAATCATGTATATTCCTACCCATCATTCTTATTTTTAATATACGTAATGAGTTCAAAAAACATCGTTGTATATATTTATTATGGCACGTTTCGTAAGTTTATTTCCGTTAAGAATTCTTTGGTATGTTGTGATCCGAAATACTTTCGTTTCGAAAGAAATTTTATTTTTTATCAATATTTCTGAAAATAAAACCATAAAAATTTAATAGTTATTATACTGAAAATAAAAATTCATTATAAACATTTTGGGATTTAAAGATGTTAATTTTTACAATTAAAATCAGTCTGGCAAACAAATTTTCTTTATAGACTTCAAAACGTCGTTTGGCGAAAATGTTTGTTTCGCAAGTGCGACTTCCGAAACCGCTACTTTCGTATGTTGCAAAATAGTTTTGTTTCGTATGTAAACTTGCGAAATGCTAAATTTCGGAATTGGCTTTTGCGAAATGAACATCGGCGATTTTAAATGTTTTGTAACATTCGGTACGAAAAAATGTAATTCCGTGTTCTCAATCTCCTTACAAAAGAATGTTGTTTTTCCGGAATTGCACGAAATCCTCCGGTTAACAACCCTATTACAGACCCAATCTGTTGAGTTTGAACTTCCAACATAGTAATATCCCTAATTGCTAATACATTTTTGTGTTTATTTAATGGAGAAAACTTATTAACATTATTAAAATTAGAAAAACTTTTAACTTACATTATATAAAAAGTATACAAATATTATGCACTGAAATACCTTATAAATAAAAATATATACCTAATGAATAATATTCTTTATTTTTCTCAACTTTTGAAAATAAGAACATTTGATTTCCTTGATTGTATATTGAAATAGTTATAGGAGTAAAATGCTCTAAAGTTAAACATGGATTTGCAGACAATATTATTGTTGTTTCGTTTTGCTGACATACTGCATTAAAAGTTGTGATTTTTTTACATATATCTTTAGCTGATTTAACTGTTACGGCATATACTGGAAGATAAATAAATAAATATATATATATAAACATATATATATATATAAACATATATATATATATATATAAACATATATATATATATATATATAAACATATATATATATAAACATATATATATATATAAACATATATATATATATATATATATATATAATATATATATATATATATATATATATATATATATATATATATATATATATATATATATATATATATATATATATATATACAGGGTTGCCACTATAATTTTTAAAGTTTTTCCCTGAGTATTTTTTGAGTAAAGAACATTTTTTCCTGAGTTAAACTCAGGATTCATGCTATTTCCAGGTATTCCAGGTTTTCCAGGTTGAGTGGCAACCCTGTATATATACATTTATTTTGGATGCATTAAAATTTTATAGATTTTACTATAGTTACTATATTTATAAAATTACCATAAATTTGCAAGTAATCATTTTAAGGTATTATTTTAATTAATTTTAATTATTCTAAGCAAATTACAATAGAAATTAGAATATAGAATGAAAGGGTATGATAAATAAAAAATAAATAGAAAAAACATACTTTGACAAGCAAACCCACTCCACAAAAACAAGTGGTATCTATACTATAAGGGAAATAGTAGTATATACACTATTTTCTACATTTGTGTGGAATATGTCTGGGAGTTTCTGTGTTTGCCATGCTTGTCTCTTGGAGCAAAAATATGTTCTTGTAACTGTTTTATAATACATTCAACTATTTTTCAAACTTTATTGCATACTCACAAGAACATGAACATTTTGAATTGTCACCAGACAAAGGCTTATATCTTTCAACCTTTTCATTCAAATTTGTCATCTAATAAAAATATCTTATTTTTTATGTATCACCAATACTGTTAAAGTTTTATAAAAAAAGCAATTTTATACTACTTAAAATTTTTTTAAAGTTCTTTGCTTTTTTTTTCAATTGCTTACTATTCCTAAACCCTATGTAAGGTTTTCCTTTGGGTTTTACTTTTCTTAGCAATATTTTTTTTTCAAAATTTAGGATTTGTTTGCGTTTCCTAAAAACTTTATTTTTGTTTCATTTTGATTTACTTTCACAAGTACTTTCTACTAAGTTGGTAATCTTGACAGAAATATTATTTACACTACATACAATTTTTTTGAGAAAAGAATCTGGGTCTTTAATTTAATTTTCAAACATACCGATGTCACTAGGATCATGGCTAGCCATAATATTTTTGCATTTGTCTATTAGATACAACACTATAATGACACTAAAAATAATCCAACAAACTAGTAAATCTTTCAAAATCACAAAAAAACTTGAAAACATGACAAATAAAAACAACTGCTGCTTGATGTGACAAAAACACAAAATTTATCTGATGTAAAAAGAAGGTAACTCTGGAGTTTCCTCATTTCTGCACCAATTGAAAGTAGAGAATACATATTATTCTGATTCAAGGAGTGCTCAAATCTAAATTAGTTTTGAACTACATTACATTTAAATATAAAATATAATGTGAAAGAGTTAAAAAAAAAACTTATTATGTCCCAATATTGGTTGGTGTAACTCTTTTGTAGTATTTTACTAAATGATAAAAACTTGATTTGCAAATTATTTTAAAGACCAGATAAATTTTTTTGTTGTTGTCTTTCTAAGCAAATATGCATTAAGAGATATGCAAATAGGTGGAAAAAAAATACTAGATTTTTTCCACAATCTTTTTGTAGTCATTTGCATGGAATTATTATAATAATCTTAAACTTTTTTCTTCAATACCATTTGAACAAACAAAAACCTATCAGTCTTTAAAAAAATATTATTTTTGACATTGTAGACAGATTTAAAAAATATGGAATCAAATTTTATTTTAAGGTTGTTGATTCAATATTGAATATTTGAAGCCAAAAGTATTAATGGTTCAAAAGTTATTCAAAAGTCAATACAACCAAAAATTAATAATTTATTTTATGCTAATATACTATAATATGTAATTTTCACTGCAAATGTTCTCGGTTGACATATATTTTAGACCTCCCCCTTCCCTCCTTTAGTAAGTCCATAAAATAGTCTTATACAAAAAGAATATTGTTGAAAACCAACCCTAACCATGACCCTTATGGTTAGGCCTTTTTATATAGAAAAATTACGAAACTTTTAACTGTATTTTGTTTTTTAGTAAAGTACAAAAAGAAAAAATGTAATGTAATAAAATAAAAACATGTAATAAAATAAATAAAGAAAACATGTACTTGTTAAGTAAAGCATTTACTTAACAAGTACATGTTTTCTTTTTTTATTATTTTAGCATATTTTTCTGTATGGAGCAGTTAACTTGTAAACAATGTTAAAATTATCAGAAGTATATTAAACTTAATACTAACTAAAATAAAATTTCTCACCAATTAATAAATGAAGCACAAAGAACATATTTTTTTTATCAGACTTAAAATTTTTAATGACAGACGCAAAACTTTTTTTGTTTTGATTTTTTTAACCGCACCAATTTAGGAAAACACCATACCACGTAAAAAACTAAAAAAACTATTAAGAATAAAAATAGAGTATTTTAGTGTCAACCTGGCTCATACAAAATCTGTGATATGTCACAATTATATCGTTTTATAAAAATTGCTTACACTCAAATAACTTTTAAGAAACCTAGTTTCTTAAAAATTTTTGAATTGAAAAATGTGTAGCTGTAAAAAGTAGGATTAAGTATAAGCAAGGCCGGTATTAGCTACGGTTATACTGGTCACGTGCCGGGAGGTCACGAATCTTAAGGGGCTTAAGGCCAAAAACTTGTTGTCCGATATCCAACTGATCTCAACTCTCATTTATTGAGTGAATATCTTCATTTTAAGCTTTTATTCTGACTGAAATTAAAAATGAAAACGGCAAACAAAAAACTTCAAATCTATATATAATAAAGGTATAATCTTTGTTTTGTACTATGTCATTTCATATAACTTCGATTTATTATATACAATTGCTCAAGCTCTTCAAAGATGTTTCTGGTACTTGGCTTGTTTAATACATTATTGCGTAACCACAGACTTAGCCTTATATATCAGTTACCTGTGCCAACAGCAATGCAGCTGTGTATAGATTAAACAGAACTTTTAATTAATTATTCTTTTTATCTTAACTATGGACCTTGTACTGTACCTGTTTTCTGAATCAAATAAATAAAAAAAAATAAAATAAAAATAGTATTATTTTATAATTAGTTTCATATAACTTCATTTAATAATTGGTATTTTATAAATTCATTCCTTATATTTTGTAATATATATTTTATAATAACTTTATTTTGTAAAATATATTTTAAAATAGCATTTTAGATCTTTTTATTGTTTAAGGGATCGTCCGTAAAGTACGTACGCACGGAGGGGAAGAGGGGTCTGCAAATGGCGTATATGATATGGGAGGGCAGTGGGTCAATTATAAAAGGAAGGAGATACTAACTTTAAAAAATATCATAAAATGTTAGATAAATAGGTTAAGAGCTTAGGTACTTTTAGGGAGGTGGAGGGTACTCAAAAAGGCGTATTGCAAAATGCGGGGGGTTTTGGACAAAAAAAAAGCGTACGTACTTTATGGGCGACTCCTAAATAGAAAACCTGATATTGACTTTCATTGATGTAGAAGATATCGTCTCTACATTCGCTAGCTGAAAGTGCCGACGAAAGATGTTTTAATTTTATACTTTATATTTCATTCATATTTCATCAAACAACTAGTTTTTGCTCACAAACAATGGCAATGCAAGTTTAGATACAAAAAAATACATTTAAAAGTCGTAGCGAAACAATTAAAAGATTTTGTTTGTTTTAAATTGCTATTGGGAGGCTAACAGAGACTGACGATCAAAAATGCCGAGAGACTAAGAAGTAATAAAACCTGCTCTAAGAATAAGTGCAAGTATATTAATTGAATTATAGAAATGGTATGAATAACAGACTTTTGTATGTTCTGTACCTTTTTTAGCATAGAAAAAGGATTTTTTTCGAAAATAAAATCACTGTAATCGGAGCTTTGGAACAAGATTTAGGCCTAAAAAGCCTAAAAATTTAAATCCCTGAATCTATTTATAAAGGAAGTAGGGTTTAAAAGTACAACTTTTTATAGACAAAACTAAAGATACTTATGCGCTTTGAAGTTTACAGATTGAGATGACTTGTACATTTTTTTTTTTTACGGAAAACTAAAGAGTACGTCTAATAAAGAGTTTTATAATTGTCTTAAAATTATCAGAAAAAACAGAAATCTAAAGAACGAAATACTTTTGCTGTTTATATCTATCCACGAACGTTCATATAGTTCGCTACATCTTAAGAAACCAAATAAGAAACCTAAAACTATTAGGTATAGTAGTATTATTAGTATTTGTACTACTATGAATGCTAAAAATTTAAAATATCATTGCTATTTTATCTTTTTATAAAATATATGTTAATCTTTGTTATATGTTCCTCAAATTCTTTTACTTTTGAAGAATTTTTTTTACTTTTGTTTTAAGTCTTCATTTATATAAAATTTCCAGAGTTTTAATGTTTTCCAATCTTATTGCTATCAGATTAAAATTTCCAGAGTTTTAATGTTTTCCAATCTTATTGCTATCAGATTAAAATTTCCAGAGTTTTAATGTTTTCCAATCTTATTGCTATCAGATTAAAATTTCCAGAGTTTTAATGTTTTCCAATCTTATTGCTATCAGATTAGAAGAATAATTATTTAAAAAGTTAAAACAGATTCTCAATTCTATTTTTAAACATAAATTATATCTACTTTTACTTTTCAAAGCTAAAAACTATTACGTCACATTCAAACAATTTTAATGTTACGTTCCAATAAAAGCTAAAAATCAGGACACTTACATTAAGTATTTTAGTATGATTTTTTTTTTTTATTTTACTAAAAAGTTATTTCTACTTCACGGAAACGTCTTATCTACTACTCAGTGTAGTTAAGGCAATTTTAAAAATTAAAGCTTTTGTCATGGTCAATAGAAATCCTGGTCTGGAAAAGATATTGTTTCAATCTTATTTTAAAACCGTATCTTTGAAAATGCGTAAAAAGTAGTCACGTGATCAAATCTAGTGCAAAACAAATTTTTAAATGGCGTTTTCTGAAGAACTTTTTACAGGCGAAACGCTTGATTATATAATAAATATTAATGCTGATGATGAATTAAATCCGGATTTGCAAGAATATTTTGATAATGCATTATTAGAGATAATAATAATGTTTAAATTTTAATTAGAATGGTTTATTTTGGTGTAAAGGTTAACGCAAATGATTAAGTCAAATTAAAAAAACATTTTTAAAAGTTATTGTATCTTAATAATTACTGTTAATAATCGTACTAAAATAATATATATATATATATATATATATATATATATATATATATATATATATATATATATATATATATATATATATATATATATATATATATATATATATATATATATATATATAATATATATATATATATATATATATATATATATATATATATATATATATATATATATATATATATAATATATGCTATTTTTAATATATATTAGGTAACCGATATTGGAGACACCAAGTGCAAAATTTGCAAATCCAAAACGTATAAAACAAAAGGAGGCTTAGCACGACACAATAAAAACAAACATACCATAAAGAGTCAAACAGATATGCATTATAATGATTTTGTCACAGATATAAAAAAATTGTTGCAGAAACTAAAGCTGATTTGTCAACAAATAAATTTTATCCTGAAGAAGTTATTTCAGAAATAAAAGACTTTGAAATAAAAATAACAGAAAACTTTTTTTGACGAAATAAAAAAAATGTCAAAAAAATTAAAATCATCTGGAAATGCTGAAAAATATTATTCCAACTTTTATAGCAATATTGTTCTCTTTTCAGACACATCTTTTAATCTAAAGAAACCTGCATCAACAGTATTTACAACAAAGTTATGCAATAAATTATTTCACTATTTTCAAAGCTCTCCTTCAAAGAATGTTGAAGTTGAAAAAATTTCACAACGTGAAGTGGATGGATTAAAATATTTGAAACTGTACATCCTGGTAGACAACAATTTGAACCTGGCATTTTGGATTTATCTTTTAGACTTTTTTAAATATAGAATATAAAGAAACATTTTAAATTGAATAAAGTTTTTGAACCATAGACAATAGAAAGGAACCAATATTATTTTAATAATAAAGAAAAATAATAATTTTAATATATTAATTTAAAATAAACATCAAAATGTTTATTAATTCGTAACTTTCATTATAAAAGTTTTGTTTGTTTTGCACTAGATTTGATCACGTGACTTAAAAAAAATGCGAACAATAACATACGACAATAGCTTTTCCAGACTATACTTCCATTGACTATGCTTTTGATATTTTGTTGACTACGACATTTCCGTTAAATGATCAGGTCTGTGAATTATGACGAATAAAGACAAAAAAAACCAGATTGAAGATTCTTTTTTTTTTTTTAAATCACAATTGCTTGTCTAAATTTGAATAAAATTTTAAATAAATACGTTTTTAGGTGAAATAAACATCATGGTTTAATAATATGATCTGTTCTGATCGCTCTTTCTAGGTCAAAATTCTAGTATTTTTTGTTTATAAAAAAAGAAAAGTTTCTTTAAATAGTAAAAAAACCTGAAGCAAAAAAAATTATGCCTAGAACTCTTGTTTGGACATAATACGCAAATAAAATCATGCTAATTTCAAATAAAAGAATTCGAATAATTTGTAAATCGCCTTAACTACACCGGGTACGTCGATATGAAAACGCTGGCCAACTTGTTCATAATGACATCTTATTCAAATAGATGTTATTACGCCAACGACTGTCGGACAAACGTGGTGTGTTCTATGGGATTATGAAAATAAATAAATACAAAAAAATATATAAATATACATTTTAGAAAATCGCAATTTATTTTAAAAAATTTAAACAAGTGCTCATTTACAATGATTAAGGAGATTTTTTTATTTTTAAAAAACTTAGTGAGAAAAACATGTCATATCTAAATAAATTTTTTAAACTCATATTTTATAGATTGAGAAATATGAACTTCAAAAATATTTAAGCTAAAGCTGAGGGGTTACTTCTTCTTAAATATCATAACAACACAATCAGTATAAAAAAAATTTATTTTACATTCTATATTTAAAAAATATATTTTTTTACAAGAACATTACAACTATTAAAAAAGTAATAATTTTGATTTACAAAAACATTATAAAACATTAAAATCTATAAAGTGAGAGAAATAAATTAGTAACAAACAAAGTTTAAGTTTAAAGTAAAAAACTCACTAAACAGAAAATATAATACTTTCAGTATTATATCGTTCAATAACTTTGACTATGGTAATCTGAGACTCGTTATTTTTACATTACAAACTAAGAAATAACAAATTTTAAAGACAAACTCTTTAAAAAATTTTTTTTTAAAATAAAAAATTTTGAAAATTGTAGTCTTCATCAAAAATTCGAAAAATTTAATTTTTGTCTTCAACACCTTGAACTTTGCTTAGACACCCAAATTAAAAAACACAGAACTCATGCTTTATCTCTTTTTCTGAGTATATTTTATAATTAAAAAAAAAAATACTCAGTAACTTTAAAATAATTACGAATATTTTAAAGTTACGAAAAATGCCAATACACAGCTCACCTCATTTTATGAGCTAGTGAGTTGAGATTGTTTAGTTACCTAGTGAGTTAAGATTGTTTAGTTATCTAGTGGGTTGAGATTGTTTCGGCGTTTGAAACGTAACATAGAAAAAAATTATTTTGTTTAGCTACAAATATAAACAAAATAAAATTACTACCATACAAAATAAAAATATAGCCTTTTATAAAAAAAAGTCTAACATGGTCTTTGCGAGGCAAACTACCAATGGGTTATAAATACTTATATACTTAAAACAAATAACTCAAAACTTAAATTAAAATGAAAAAAGCTAACACGTCTCAATCTATTACATACTCTAATCTTCTGATAATATTATATGCGATGGGCTATTCTTCTACTAATATTGTATGCGATTGGCTGTAATTTTTACGCCAAATACGCTTTCTACAATAAATAATTAACGAAACTAAAACCAATACAGAAATGATAACGACTAATACAAAAATTGCTACTTTCAATGGGCTATTGTTTTTTGATTCTGAAGCTTCACACGGACCTGAAACAAATTTAAATGTATTGTTTAAAATGTTATTAAAAATTTAATTCTGTAGAAATATAATAAAATAACGTACATATGTTTTTTTTACTGACATGAAACTCTGTAAGAAGCAAAGGAACACCATCACGAGAATTTGGAAAGTGACCTAAAATCTGAAAAAAAAAAAATTAAAAAAAAAAAAAATCAATTAAACATAAACACTTTACTCTCAAATACCAACAAAACTAAACATTCGTTTGAGTTCATATTTCACATATGAAATAAGGAGAATAGAGACAAGTCTGCAAAAAGTAGAAAAGAAGTAGAGAGGATTGTTTTGCATATTAGTTAATAAATCTTTAATATTGAATAATTTTGGAAAGAGCAAATAAAATGTCAAAAATACGTGAGAGTGAAAAAAAAAAACAATATATATATATATATATATATATATATATATATATATATATATATATATATATATATATATATATAATGAAAAATATGTTTTTCTTTTTTTTAATTTCCGACATATTTGCCTACTACATGAACAAAGCTTATTTCTTATAATCAATAAAATCATCAATAAAAAAAACATTCAAACTAATATATCAATATATCTAAAATAATAATATATCAACAATAAAAATAAATTTAAAAGTAATATATCCACAACCATTCAACAGCAAAAATAAATTTAAACAAGTCTAAAACCATTAAAAAATATATATAACATTTAAAATATTTACTTACCAAAACAAAAATTGCATTTGTATTTTCTAAAATATTTAAACTAATATTGCCTCCACCTAAATATAAATATCCATCGTTTGATGATGGATACTTGTTTGTTAGAGGACCAATAGGGAAAGGATATGAATAAATTCTGTCATTTGTATTAAGATAGTTTGGTTTTAACGTTTGATGAAATGGAAATATTTTATTACCATGCACTTCAGAATTTACAACATGCATATCTAGAAATACTTGCGGAATATCAGCACATACTTCAACAGTAAGATTCATAAACGCTGACACACTTTGGTTTTTGCCCAAAATCCATTTATTTTGACAAACATGTTTTGTATTGGTTTCATGAATACATTTTGTTAAAGGGCAATTCAAAGAAAGTTCTGTATTAAAAAACCCTTCAATTAAAGTTACTAACATGGCATTATTTGCACAAACAAAATTTAAACTAGTTCTATAAATATCCATATTCAGACGATTCATTTGAAAATAAAGACCGCATCCATCTTGATATGTGCTCAAAAAAGAATCGGATTTATCTTGAGTAAACGATTGTTTAAGGGGTTCTTTATTTTGATTATAAAATGCTAAAACAACAGTTGAAAATGGTATAGTGCAGGAATCAAACATAAGAAAATAGAGTCCATTCCTTGGTCGATGTTTATAAATCATTTCATTATTTATTAAACATACATACGCATAAGCTCCAATTTTGTATGCTTCATTACAAATGTGTAGTGAAAATGCTAATAAAAGATAATAAATATATTTTGAAGTTTTAAAAGCAACTTAAATAAAAGTAAATATATTTAAATACTTATTTTTTATCTTTAAAACGTTTTTCAAACATAGATATCTTAATTCAGAATAAACAATCAGTTAATATAATGCAGAATAAACAATCAATTAACATATTACATAATAAACAATCAGTTAATACATTACAGAATAAACATTCACTTAATATATTACAGAATAAATAATCACTTAATATATAAAAGAATTACCCATCAGTTAATATAGATAAAAAATACTTTCAAATACCTTTACAACATATTTGTCACAGTTTGTAAATTTGGGACCCTAATATCAATGAAATACCCTATGAAAACCCTTTTAAGGGGGGATAGTACATGCCAATGGGAGTCTATATTGAGTTGTTTTGAAATCGGGGATTAACATCAAAAAGAATTATTTGATCATGAAGGTTTTTTAAAAGGGTTGATTTATGAGCCAAATTAAGCTGCCTATTAATGGTACTAAACTTGCTCCCTTAATTTTTTTTATAAAATAAAGATTGTAGCCCATGAAACGTAAAATGTTTATTATTTTATTCATTTTTTTTGAAATAATTCTTTATTGAGCGTTTTGATCAGTGCAAGCGTAAAATCGAACTTTCGAAACTAACGAAAAGAGTAAACAAATATATTCTGGGAAAAGGCAGTACACTTTAAGTTTTTGAAGGAAAACATATTTTTTTGTGAACAAATATTTATGAATTTAAAGATGCCTACATTTGCCAAAAACCATGAAGAATGTAGAAAATCTGTTTGTGTTATCTGTATGAAGAAAGGTGATCAAGAATTGACTGAAAACTTCAAAGCTAAAATTCTTCAACAAATTCAGAAAGAAATCAACTTCAATGATGACAGAGTACCATTGGCGACCTGCATCTCCTGCAGATCTCACATTGGAAAGCTGTGTGATGGTAAAACAAATGTTGTGCCTCAGATTTATGACTTTGAATCAACTTTGATCATGCCTCTTACTCGTTTTTCTACAGTCTGTAAGTGCTTGATTTGTAAGATTGCCAAACTCAAGGGAAAAGAAAGGCATCCATTAGGCAAGGTTCAAGATTCAGCACCAAAAGTTCCCCAACAATCTTCGCAAAATGCAGAAAAGCATTGTACTAAGTGCTTGTCAGTTATTGGTCGTGGGCTTCCTCACTACTGCACTCCTGGAACACGCCATGAAAATTTGAGAAGAATGGCTGCCTCTGATCCCATTGGTGCAGAGCAAGTTGCAGCAACAGTTTTGGCATCAAAAAGTGCATCTCCTCATGGCACCATCAGACTCAGTCAACCTTGTGGAAAGTTATTGCCATTGAGAAAAGGTAATAGTGCTTTTGAACTTTAAATGATTAAATTAAAATATAAATATTACCTATTTATTTTTCAAAAACTTACTTAATTTAAAAATAAAATTTTCTCTGCAAATATATTTGCAGAGAAAATTTAATTTTTAAATTAAGTAAGTTTTTGAAAAATATTAATATTTTTTGAAGGTCATGAACTATTTTTTAAATGCAATTTTTATAATTAGGACCTTCATCAGCACAGCAACTTTTCAAAGAGTCTCTCACAAAGCAGAATATGGTTCAAATTTAGCAGAATATAGGACTTTCAAACAATGGGATGAGAAAACTTGGATCGGCACTAAATCAAATCAGTCCTATCAGATTGGTGGAGCCAAGTTTTCAGCAAAAATTCGCTCAAGCAGGCCAAAAACTTTGTGATCACTTCACTGTGAGCAGCATCACTCTTGCTGAAAACAATCAAATATCCCAAGTTGTGCATTGTCAAAACCTCAGTACTCTTAGTGATGTCTTCTTAGCATCAAGAAAGATGACAGATTCTGCAATTTTGAAACTAGGGATTGATGGTGGAGGATCTTTTTTGAAAGTCAGCTTCACACACATCATTGTGGATGAAGGTGAGACACCGCCACATAGCCCACTGCAGAAAACAATCAAATTGATGTCTCCACAAACAACTAAATCAACAAGTGTCAAGCAGCAACTACTGGTAGCAATTGCACAAAACACTCCAGAGAACTACCATAATGTGAAGGCAATTTTTGACCTCATCCAAGTACAAGAAAAATGTCAGATGGATTCTCTGGTCATATCATGTGACCTAAAGTTGGCAAATATTCTGTGTGGCATTCAATCCCATAGCAGCAAACACCCATGTTGTTGGTGTGATGTTTCGTCTTTAAACCTCCAAAACTGTGGAAGTCCTCGAACTTTTGGCGAGATTAGGAGACAACATTTTGAATTTATCAACGCAGGAGGAGATAAAAGAAAATCAAAGGAGTTCAAAAATGTCATTCACGTACCATTGGTTGATTTTCCTGATCACAAGCTTGTGCTTGAAGCTATCCCTCCAATGGAGCTCCATTTGTTACTTGGAGTAGTAAACCATTTGTATAAAAATCTTTGCAAAATTTGGCCAGGGGCCGAGAAATGGCCAGCTTCACTTCATATTCCTATTCAGCCCTACCATGGTGGACATTTCAATGGGAATGACTGCATGAAGCTCTTGAGAGGTTTAGACAAGTTGCAATTGGTCAAAGGATACAACAATTTTAGTCAAGCTCATGACTTTATGCAAACACTTGCACTATTTAAGGATGTGGTCATTTCTTGCTTTGGCAATAATTTGGATCTTGATTATGAATCGAAGATCTCCAAGTTCAAACAAAGCTACATCCGCCTACCCATTTCAGTTACTCCAAAAGTACATGCAGTGTTTTACCATGTACCTCAGTTCATCAAAATCAAGAAAACAGGATTGGGTCTCTTCAGTGAGCAGGCAACAGAAGCTCTGCACTCCAATTTCAAAGTTCATTGGGAGAGATACAAACGAGATTCCTCACATCCAGACTATGCCAGCCAACTCCTGAAGTGTGTGATTGAATACAACAGCAGGAAAATCTAGATCTAAAGAACAGTGTTAAAAAAATCCTAAGAATACTCTTAACAGATTTGTGATATTTTAGTGCCTTTATTTTGTTCCAGATGATTCGTCTCTAGAGAGCATTATAATTTTTAATGGAATTATAGAAATTGTTGTTCATCTTCTAAATGCGATCATTAAGAAAATAAATGAATAAAATAAAAAAGCTCCCAATTTATGTTTTTAACATTTTTTGTTTTATGATAAAAAATCAGAAATGTATTTTTGTACTACAAATAGGCTGCCAAATGTTGCTTAAAATTCTTATTTTCTTTAAAACTTCAAGGTAAAAAATCTCCATTGGATGTTAATGCAGGATTTCAAAATCACTCTGTATGGCCATCCATTGTTATGTACTATCCCCCCTTAAAAGAGTTTTCATAGGGTATTTCATTGATATTAGGGTCCCAAATTTACAAATTGTGTTATATAAATGCAGAACAAAAAGCTCAAAAGCTGACAATTGAGTTAAATAATGAGATTTATGTCAAAATCATTTATGTTTAATAAAATCATTTATGTTTAATAAAATCATTTATGTTAGATAAATGCATTCTGAGCAATAAAAAAGCTTTTTCACTATGCTTTAAAAATAATAGTGCACAAATTCAGGGCTTCAGCAAATACATCAACTAAGGTTAGGGTTTAAGTAAGCAGTAACCTAGTAACCAGTAAGTAGGTGCCTGGAATTTTAAAAAGTTTAAGATTATTCAAAATAAATTAAAAATTCATTAAAAATTTCATTAAAAATTTTTTTTACCATGAGGATGAAGATCAAAAATGCACATAGAAAAGAAAAAGGGAAAGTCAACTTCAACAATTTTCTTTAATGACACAGTCTGATTTGCTTTAGCAACAGAATAAAGCTATAAATAAAAAAAAGTAAATGTCAATAAATAGTATATAATAAATATAAATATATGATAAGTACATAAAAAATATAAATATATGATATGATATCAACACCTTTTAAAGTATAAAATATATAGTAATGATAAGATGGTATTTTGAAAATATTGAAAACCATCCTGTTACAGTTTTTTCCCTTTTGGAGCACTACTTGTAAAGTAAAACTTTGTAACACAAAGTTTTTATGGATTAAATTAACAAAAATTGTAATTAAAAACTTATTGTACCAATAATTATTCAATTTTTGCATTTGTTTTAAAAATCAACACGTTTTACAATATATATATATATATATATATATATATATATATATATATATATATATATATATATATATATATATATATATATATATATATATATATATATATATATATATATTATAAAAAATGTCAATAAGAAATGGGAAAAAGAAGGCTGTATATATGGGAAAAAGAAGGCTGTATATATATATATATATATATATATATATATATATATATATGTATATATATATATATATATATATATATAACTTAAATTGCTAGTTTAGATGATAACTCTGACATCACATTGAATATATATGGGAGGTTTGTGTACCAAGAGCATTTTACTTGAAAACTATGATTTTCAGTCAGGTGATTAGTTATAAAAATTTTTTATTTTAAATCTTTAAAAACACAAATTAATTCATTGTGATCAGATCAGTTTTCACCACTTTTAGACAAGTTCAAGGCCTTGAATTGATGCATTGAAAATTCCAACCCTAGGTACTTTATTGTATATTCCAAATCTCCTGTACAAGGTGAGCACTCTATCCCTACTTCCGCATTGATATATATATATATATATATATATATATATATATATAAATATATATATATATATATATATATATATATATATATATATATATATATATATATATATATATATATATATATATCAATTTATATATATACATATATATATATATATATAAATATATATATATATATATATGTATATACTATATATATATATATATATATATATATATATATATATATATATATATATATATATATATATATATATATATATATAATGGGGTAGTGGTGTAGTGGTAAAACACTTGCTTCATAAGCGAGAGGTTCCGAGTTCGATCCCCACCACATCTCTGGTAGTACCGCGCTCAACTCTCTGCGCAGCGGCCTTGTTTATCAAGGTTCGTGTTTCGGAGTTATAGAGTTAAGAGAGGGTTATAACCAATATTAAGTAGCCTCCTCGTCTGTAGTGGCCTTCTCGGCCTTGAGGAGGTGAATAACAAAAAAATATATACATCAATGCATATATATATATATATATATATATATATATATCAATGTATATATATATATATATATATATATATATATATATATATATATATATATATATCAATATATATATATATATATATCAATGTATATATATATATATATATATATATATATATATATATATATATATATATATATATATATATATATGTATATGTATATGTATATGTATATGTATATGTATATGTATATATATATATATATATATATATATATATATATACTTACTGGAAATATTAACATAATTCCTACAATATATATATATATATATATATATATATATATTATATATATATATATATATATATATATATATATATATATATATATATCAATGTGTTTATATATATATGATTAAATGAGGAGCAACTCGCAAAGCTCCCCAAGTTCGTTTTAGGAGAGCTTTTCTCTGCTTCCATGCTCATTTATTCCAGCCGAGGCCTAGATATTTATATATATATATATATATATATATATATATATATATATATATATATATATATAAAAGCTGTTATTTCTATACTTCACCGCATTAAAAGACTTTTGGCATTAGGTTCGTATATCTAAGCTTGAATGATGTCTCACTGATATCCAAATATACTTTTTCTTTAGAATTAGGATTTTCAACAATCACAGTAGCTTGATAGACAACATTACCTAATAAACATTGATTGTTCAATGGGCAAGCAGTCTTTGTAATACAATAGCAAAATTTTGTATTATTGTGCAAAAACTTGTGGCTATGTTAACTAATTATTGATTTTACGTTGTGTATACAACTATAACTCACTTTAATTAAATTTCTGTTGAATATTTTGTTTAATTTCTGTTTTAATGAAAAGTGCAAGTCTTTTATTGTTAATAAATGATTGTATATATTTTTCTAAACCTGAGATTGGTATTTAAATTTATAAATATAACCAGACTTCTTTAATGCTTCTCAGTAAGGTGGAAAAACTTTATAGAAAATAAATTCATTTAATGACATGGCAGACAATGTTAATTTAACAGAGCTAGGGAGTCTTTTGATAATACTGGGTAGGTGGTTATATATAGATACATTTGCTCCAAAAGGTTAGGCACTCTAAGCAAGCTAGTCTAAAAAAATGAAAAGAATAATCTTGATCTATTTAATCAAAAATATAACCATATACCATCTACACTATATACCATATAACATCTTATACCCATACCACCTAAAAATACAAATTAAATGCTACTTTAGAAAACCGAACCGTTTTTGACAAGATGAGATGTAAAGCATAATTTTTATTAACAACAAATTAACATACAAAAATAATAATAAGTATTTAAACTACAAAACAAATTTGACTAAATGAAAACGAAAATAAAATCTCAAATAAAAGAAATATCTTTTTATGAAAAAATATATATAATTATTTAATTTATCTCATTAAAACAACAAAGTTTAAATAAGTCAAACCAACATTCCAAGAGAATATAAAAAAATAATGTAGAACCAATAAAATGTCAAACTAAACTCTTATAAAACTGAAAAAAACATCAAATATATATAATTTATTCAAAAAAGAATATAACCACATTTAAAAAAGGGAATCACTCCCACCTATAAAAGGGAATCACTCCCACCTATAAAAAGGGAATCACTCCCACCTATAAAAAGGGAATCACTCCCACCTATAAAAAAGCTGATTTAAAATTAAAAAAAACTAGGGGAAAGAGGGGAAGTATGTTTTACAAAACTATGAAGTTTATGATATAGTCAAGAAAAACAGATCTTCTGTTTTTCACATTAAAAGATCACAAAATACATATTTGATATATTTTTGGTTTTATAAGAGTCTAGTTAGACATTCATATTTATTTTACATCATTTATTATACTATCTTAGAATGTAGGTTTGACTTATTTAGACTTTGATGTTTTAACTTTGTTAATAATCCTACAGTACAATTTTCGAATCCAGAAAAAAATGAGGTGAAAAACAAAGCAAAATTATTTTATCTAAAATCAACAATGAACTCAGAAATGAACTGTTTGTTAATGGCAAAGCACCTTTGTTAATTAATGGTAAATGTTGCTGATTGACTTATTAAGGACAAAAATTTTTTACAAATTGTTAGTTTTTGACATCAATGATTTTTATCCTTAAATAAGTGAAAAACTTTTGATTGCTCCACAATGCAATCAACTTTGCTTGAATTTTTGAGCTTGCATTTTGACAACTTACTTAAAACATTGGTAAAAAATAAACTTAAAACATTGGTAAGACATGCAAGACAATTTTTACTCTTTAACAAAAAAGAAGGATGAAGAAAAAAAGTGGACTCTGATGTAACAATCGGTGTTTACAATGGTGCTAAAGTCAAAGTTAGCATTAAAAAACCAACCTAATAAAACCCGCCTTGAAAAACCCAATAAAACTGGAGCAATCTGGGTTTTATTAGGTTTTTTTAAAGATATTTTATAATTTTATAACTACTATAACCAACATTTCTGAAAATATAAACATATAGCTAGCATAAACATATTATAGTAGCTAGCTATAAGGGGAAAAGTTTTAATTCAAACACAATATTTAAAAAAAAAAATTTTTTTAGAATGATACTTTCTAAAACCAAATAAATTAAAAAATTCATCCAATAAGATTTTTTAGGATAAATACACTTAGATAAAAATCATTACATTTATGACATACATTTTTAAGAAACCAACTACCTAATTTTGATACTGCCTATATATTTGTACAAGCTTTTTTGTCTTTTCACTTCTCACATATTTTATTTCTAACTTTTTTAATCAGATAAAACCAAACTATGAAAATATTCTTTCAATTGATCTAGAAATAAATTTGAAAAACCCTGCAGTCAATTTTTTTATGAACTGATTTCTTGTTTCTTGGATTAATGATAGACCACCAATCACCGCACAATATTGTGAATATAATTTGATCGCTTAACATCCTAGTATAAAACCCAGCACAGTCCTTTAATTTAAGCAAAATCAACCAAGGTATAAAATCAGGATAATGATTTTAAAGCCATTTTCTGCCTCGTCTTTATTTTTAATCATTAGGCTTTTACCTACAAAAAAAAATTATTTTTATTATTATTTAATCTTATTTTTAATTATTATTTTTTCTTTAGGTCTATAAAGACATATTTTGTAATGAAAACTTTTATTTAAAAAAAGTTAAATACTTGATCTAAACAACATCAAATTTTTTGAGTTGGATTGTTAGCTTTTCTAAATATTGCTAGATTTTCAATGATATTGAATTGATATTGTGTATGATGCCATCAGCTGTTGCTTCTTACAAGGTTTTGGCAAATTTATAAAACTTACAGATACCAAAGAACTTGTTTCAACTTGAGATAATGGTCCAGCTATCAGAGTAGATTTACTAATATTTGAATCATTATTTGGAAATACATTATCACAAATTTTTATTCAAATATTTTTATAGATTGAGATTGTCACTTTTTATCTTTTATGTTATTCATCCCAAGGCTAAGAAAGCCACTGCAGTCAAGAAGGCTACCTTATTGTAGTTACAACCCTCTTTCAGTTGAAAGAGGGTTGTAATTACAATAATTTCGAAAACTGAACCTTTAAGAACTTCATAGAGAAAAAAATTTGTTCATTTGAATTTCAAGTTCAAACTTAAAGTTTAATTGAAACTTTAGTTACTTCCTACCATTCTCCAGCCTTCTTTTTCCCATTTCTTATTGACATTTTTTATAATAAAAAATACTACTTTTAAATCAAAAATAAATCAATACAGATAAGTTTAAAGTTAAATTTTTTTTTCTATAACAGTTTAATATTATGTTTTAAAAAATAATTTGAAAAATTCTTGTCATAAATTATTAAGTATCATTATATAAAATATATTTTAAACAAAGTTAAAGTAGAAAATTATACAAATTTTCAAAATACTAAAACAAACAAAAAAAAGCAAAAAAAAATTTAGCTGATACAAAATAAAAATAAAATCCAAAAAAACACAAATTTACCCAATAAAACCCACTGGGCCGGGTTTTTTTTAAAAAAACCCAGGTTTTTGCCACCTGTGGCTAAAGTACATGAGTTAGTAGAAATTTTTCTTTAATTTCAACTTTCACAGTAAGTTTAACATAATTTATGTTAATTACAACAGAGACGATTTTGGTCTGTATTGTGATGACTAACTAGCAATGTTAAAAAATAAAAATGGCTAGCAGATGGAACTCCATCTGTTTTTAGTTTTCTCCATGGAGAAAATCAAAATACATTTTGTTAAAAATATTAAAAGTAACAATGCTCAAACACTGCAAGTTTAAAACTGTTACACTGTTAAAATGTATGAAATATTCTTACTATAGCCTTTAAATATAGTTTGTGATGATAATTTATGCTATCTGTTTTAATACTCCAGTCCCATTTTACTGCAACAGATATATTACCTACAGAAATAAAATATAGAAGAAATTTAACTAAAATAATAATTTTTAAAGTGTGTATTGAAAAACTATAACCAATAGGAACACCCACTCAAAAAAAAACAACGTATACCTAAATCATAATACTCTTCATGTTTAACTACATTCTTGTGTAAGAACATTTGGTTTTCTTGATTGTATATTGAAATTGAAAGAGGTCGAAAGTTTTCATAAGATAAACAAGGAGTAGCAGACAAAACAAATACTGCACTACCTTGTTGGCACATTTCATTAAAAGTTGTAATTTTTTTACATATATCTTTAGCCAATACGACTGATAAAAAATAAACTGCAAAAAAAAACAAAACAATTATTATTAAAAATTCTCACTAAAATAAAGTAGATTGCATTCAGCAATGTGTTAAATGTGTCATGTTACCAAATGCAAAGTTAGTTTCAATGGTCAAAACCAGTAGTAATACTAAATAACAAAACTCTTTAGACTGCCAATTTTTTGTTGTTGCTATTAGGGACTTGTTAAATATTTTATAGCTTTGAGGTTTCCCTAGTCATGTTATTAAAATTTGTTTAAAAAGTTAAAGCGAAAACTTTTTTTATTATAGAATATTTAAATTATTTTTTAATATTGTTTACGCAACCTTTATTCAGAAAATATTAAGTCGTAAAAAAAACATATAACCGCAACTGTGAATTTTTTAAAGAAATAGAATTTTTTTGGATCCGCAGTAGCTCTTTTTTTAAAAATTGGCAAGAAAATAGCTTAGTGCCATAGGTATGTTTGTTAAACACAGCAATTTCTTGATTATTAGAAGTTAACTTATTATCGTTTTAATCTATTAAAAGATACCTATTTTCAGAGTTATATACTATATTATTTACATAAAATTTTGCTAATATTATTACCCTTAAGACTAAATGAGAGTTGTCATTTAGTGAGTGAGTATGGGTTCTTTGAATTTTCTAACATATTTAATTTAAGCTATTTTGTGTTTTTAGTATCAATGATCTTTTTTAAAAAGTGTAACCTTTCTAAGAGGAACAAACCAAATAATACCATTACAAAAATAATTGGAGAAAATATTCCAAAAATCTTTAATTGAGAAAATATTAAAAAATTCAAAGTCCCAATTGATATTAGATAAACATATAGATAAAAATAAGACTGATAATCATCAACAAGAAATCATAAAAAGATTCAGATTTTCTTTTTGACTGTTCAATCTATCAATACAGCAACCATAACATAAAAATAGACTGTGTTATGGTTGCTTGTTGAATTATGAGTAGCTAATTCTCTACTGCCTTAGTTGCAGTGGAGAATTAGCTACTCATAATTCAACTGCTTGTATAATTCTCATAATACTCATAATTCTTACAATGCTTATAATTTAACTTCTCATAATTTAACTGCATAATTTAAATACTGCATGATTTCAGCATGATATAAGTAATAAAAAAAAAACTTAAGTCAATTTTTACGATTATAAAGCATCATTCGGTTAAATTTGAGTTTTTAGTTAGTAAGATTTTCTTTACAGTTAATCTAATAAAATTTTATAAATCTTATATTGAAAAATAGTTGACTTACATCATTCTGATTCTCACAGGGTCATTTAGCTTTGACTTTACAAAATGTTGACTAAACTAATATTAAAAAAATGAAAGAGCAATAGTAATGAAGAGAAAATAAAAATTCCATCATCAAATGGAGAAAATTAATGACAGTTAGTATGCTATAAACTTTTATGTCAATAGTTTATCTTAGGAAGAGGGTTTTGACTTTGTTTTAAACATTAACTTATTTTACTGAATCATCTTTAATTTATTAGTTTTATAAAATTAGTAAGAAAGTAGTTAATTCCCTTAATTACAGTAAAAAAAAAATTATTTATAACTATTTGCTTTCTAATGTTGTTAAGATGCACTTATTACTATTTATGTCAAAATCCTTTTGAGCTTTGACATAGGTAGATATCAATTTAATTTAATAATATATTATAATATTAATGAAACATTCTGAAAATAACTTTAAAATTTTTTCAAATTTGGAACAGCACACTTTTTTGAAACTTTGTGTCAAAAAAAACTCTATTTACTTACTGCAAAATAATTGAAGCACAAGACACATTTTCATTTTACTGCAGACCTATACACTCCCTTCTTGCAAAAATGTTTGAATACAAGTTCATAATAAAAATAAAAGTTTAAGGGCAGTACTTCATTTAAGGAGCGATAAAAATGTAAAAAGTTTCCAAGGAGTTACAATATATTTTTTATATTAAGGAAGATTCAACAGATTCATTTATATCTACTATATATAAACATTGTTTTGGAAGCGCTATTGTTCCTTTATTGTACTTAAGGGGCTGTTTATTGTTCACGAATCGGGCTGGCCCGGTTAACTTGGATTACTAAAAAAATTATGACAAAAAATAAATTTTTACATTATTTAAAAACATCTCTTCAGAGTTTAATATATGTAATTAAAAAATAAACTTCAACAGTAGATGTAACTCTTTATTCAAATTGATATTTTAATATTTTAAGGGAGAGTAGAAACCCTCATTATTAAGCATAATGTAAGTCATGGGTTAAAGTAGAATATTAAATTAAGTGAACGGTGTTTAAAATTTTAATAAATTTAAATTAAAAGAACGGTGTTTAAAATATGTTAAAAAGCTCAAATTGTTTGTTAAAAGAGTGGCGGAATAGCCCGTTTGGGTGCGGAATCATTCCTTAAAATTTTTGCAGTATTTCGAGATATTGCGTGATGACTAATACTTCTTAATATTAGTCATAAATTTTAGCAAAACTTAAAGTAGCTCTTTAACTTCAATAAAAATCAGCGAGCAAAGTGAAAATGATCTACTACTTTAAAGAGATAAGTTAGGCGTTGCGTAATTTATTGACAATCCCATTGTAAAAAAAAAATAATAATAAACGAGGTGGAACGGTTGTAAAGAAATATTGAGCGAAGGGGAACGATTTCTTAATTTGTTGGTTAAAGAAGAACAGCGTTTCCCTGCGTTCCCTCCTACTTTAACCACTGATGTAAGTATAAGAAACCATTAAAAACACAAATTAAAAATCTCATCTTGTATTTACCAATGTAAAAAAATACATACGAAGGAAAATATGGAAAATCGGCAATAGCGGGACATTCTTGCGTGGAACAATAAAAATACTCTAAAAAAGGAGCTCAATAATTACAAATCAAGGCAATAGTTTATTTTGACTAAAACATTGGTTTACAAATGGAAGTAGTGACTTAACCTTCGTCATCCTGACTCAGTCCGCTGTCTGAAGGTGCACATTCATGACACTGCATTTCTTGTGCCTCTCTCACTTTTCTGTTAAAATTATTTAGCTTCATTTTTAGAGTATTTTTTTTGTTCCACGCAAGAATGTCCTGCTATTGCTGATTTTTCCCATTTTCCTTCGTATGTATTTTTTGATGTTTTTACTCTTACTGGACAAAACTAATAACTCGTCATATAAAAAAGATTTAAGAACCATTTTTGTAGTGTCTTAATGGTGACATTAGTTTTATTTTTGGGTTGCTATGGTTCATAGCAATTTAGGTATCCATAGCCTATGGATGCCTAAATTGCTTAGCAGTTTGATTAAATATTAGCAATTATAAATGGAAATAATAAAACTGGAAAAAGTAATAACTTTATTGGATTACTCCCATAAATACCATATGAGTATTTTTGACTACAAATATAGTGGTACTATGGATTTTTTATTTGTTTGATAGTAGCAACTGAAATGCTTGGCAACGGTTCATTATGCATAGTTACTAGCTTAAGTAACTTTTATATAAGCATCAATGTTATAAACTAGGCTAATATTAATGTGGCAGTCTGATTAAAAATTATTTTAGGAATTTAAAAATTTTAACACATTCCCAATTACTAACTTTAAATATTTTTATGCAGTTACAGGATAGAGCTCTCAAATAGAGCTATTTTAAATTTAATGAAACTACAACATAATCCATAGAAAAAGGTACCTAAAGCTTAATCCTTTTTGTGTATATAATAATATAAAAATTTTGATTTAAAATTATTTTTAGAACCAAAACTCATATATTCTGATCATTTTAAAACAGATTTAGTTTTTATTTCTTGACCACTTTGGCGCAAACTACAACCTGATGCAAACAATAGTTTATAAGATGAATATAATGCAATTAATGGAGTCAATCTTCTTTTCTTTGTTTTACTAATTAAAGTAACAAAATTCACCTGGGGCCTGCAAGATACTACAGTTGGGTAAGACCAGAGTTTTCTTTATCAATGGAAGCAGCTAACAGAATTTCTTTATTATCAATTACAAATTGAACTGATATTGATTCATTTTGTAGTCATTGTTTGTTATTCTCTTCAAAACGAGTTTTAGAGTTTCTGCATATATAACTTTGTCAAAGATGCTTTATGAAATTAAACAGGTTATTATTTGCAGTTAAGCTTATGTTATTTATAACTGCATCCAAAATATTAGGATTAGCTAAGTTCAAGTTTTCTTGTATTATATATGAGCAAATGTCAATATTTTTCATGTTTTAACTATATAAAATATTAATTTCATTTACAAAATTTTATAAATAGGTATTTTAGGATGTATTACTAATAAAATAAGTTTTTAACACAAATCTGGTCTTGCTGAGACCCAATTATTGTATAACCATCAAAAACTACCCGTTTATAGCCAAAACCTATTTTATATCTATTTTAAACACATTATTACACAGCATTACACAGTATTACATAACATTATTTTTCCCCCAAATCATTAATAAGAAGTTTATTAGGACATATTATTAATGAACTATGTAACAAGTTTCTAGAAGATTAAATGATTGTTTAAAAATTTCTAACCGTAACTAAGTATATAGATAAATTGCAAAATAATATGGCTCCTCCTCCTTATCAATGCACTATGAAAAATAACAAGTTATATAATAATAAATTAGACTTAAAATTACATGTCTAATTCATGAAAAAATTAGCCAAGACATCATTTATAATAAATTTACTTAAAAACAGGTAGCAAGGTGTTATACCTTTTGCCCTGTTTGATCTCCCAATGCCAATATTATCCCAAAAGAATATTAGCTTCATTAATAACTACAATATGTTAGAAGTAGATTAAACTTTTACTTTATAAGCATATGAAAAAACTTGCTTGAATTATAAGACGACGCTTTGTAACTAGTTTTTAACTTATGTAACTGTTATTTTTATTAGTAATTTTTTTTCTTCAGTTGCAAATCGCGCATTGTGGTTTTCAACGTGAACGAACACGTATTAGCAAAGTGGAAAATAAAAAATAAATAAAAAGTTAAGTATTAAGTTACTTTGGAAAATAATATAATTTAAAAATAGTTATAAAATATAAAAATAGTTATGGCAGTTACAATTGAATAAATAAAGAAAATGCTAAAAAAAATGTTTAAGGAGTTTAAGAAGGAAACTGAAGACATGATTAAATGGCAAGAAAAAAATGTTTTAAACATTATAAGTTCAAGCACAAAAATTTTATACGAGCGTTTGGATAAAGTTGAATCATATATCAGTAAAAATAATAAGAAAATAAAATCGATAGAAAAAAAAGTTGAGGACTTTAAAGTAACTTTAAACTTTCATAAACAATTATTGAAGAAAAAATTAGAAACATCATTATTTCACAGGATAAATGTAATACAGTAAGAGTTACCTAAAACAACGAGTCTACATTTACTAAAATTAACTACAAATTAAGAGCGGTAGACCCTACGGCATTTATTTTTATAAAGTTACGTTCTAAATGTCTTTTAAACGTTTTTTAAATGTCTTTTAAACGTTCTTTACGTAAGAATGTTTAAAAGACGTTTAAAATACATTTAGAATACATTTAGAACGTAACTTTTAAAAACAAATATCCGCTGGAGAGGATTGATTCCATCGGAATAATCTGAGAATCGATTGGATTCTCGAGAATTCGAAACAAAGGTAAAAAAAGATTAAAAATTATTTAGGTCTAAAAGATAATAACGTTGAAAAGCACATAGAAATGGTCATAAAGATTCAGTTAGACCAAGAACTATAGTCATAAAATTTCTAGACTTGAAAGATAAAGTAGATATTCTAAAAAAGACCAATAACATAAATGGAAAAAAATCTATATAAATGAAGATTTTTGCGCTAAGACAGTGCAAATTAGAAAGGTGCTAAGAGAACAGATGAAATAGGAGCAGTTATTATTTATATATATGTATATATATATATATATATATATATATATATATATATATATATATATATATATACATATATATATATATATATATATATATATATATATATATATATATATATATATATATATATATATATATATATATATATATATATATATATATACATATATATATATATATATATATATATATATATATATATATATATATATATATATATATATATATATATATATATATATATATATGTATATATAAATGTATATATATATATATATATATATATATATATATATATATATATATATATATATATATATATATATATATATATATATATATATATGTATATATTTATATATATATATTGTTGTCAATAGCGATGATTTTTGTTAATTGTTTGCATGAGTTTTAACTAATTTTTTTTTCTTTTCAAATTTATGCGGAAAGAGAGAATTTGTTGGGCAGGTTGACATTTTCAATGCTTCAGTGAACAACTTTAACACGTTTTTCTATTGTTCATTTATTTCAATAAGATGGAACTTTAGCCTGCCTCAAATTTCTTTTAAACAAAATTAATTGTAAGTTTTCTCATTCTTTTCGGTATTTTTACTAAATTTGATTTAGTTTTTTGCTTGTTTAACTATTTGTTTCTAAATACTTTCTATTATGCTTATGAGTGTGCGCAAACAATTTAGCGTAAAATATAATTATAACATCAGTAAATTAATTTATTTAGTTTAACTTAATAGTAAATTAAATTTATTAATTATTTCTTGTTACAATACTTAGTTAAATTTATTTTTATAAATATTAATCTCTGGGATTCTTTATTTTTTGCTTTGTTAACTATATTTGGTTAATTATTATCATAATTTTTAGAATTTTAATTAAAATAATAAATTATTTTAGAAAATGAACTTCGAACATTACGCAAACTTAGATAGGAATTTTAATCTTGAGAAATGTTTGCCAAATGAATTTTTAGTTAAATCTCAAAGAATTCCAGCAGAAAAAAAATATATAGCTCCAAAAAGCGTCAAGCGACCAATGAATGCCTTTATGCTTTGGGCAAAAGATAGAAGACGTTTTTTAATGGAAAATAATCCAACACTTCATAATGCTGATATAAGTAAAATTCTGGGTAGTGAATGGCGTGACATGCCGGATGAAAAGAAAAACCCATTTTGGAAGGAAGCTCATATTTTAATGGTGCAGCATAAATTTGATCATCCGGAATACCACTACAAGCCAAGAAGACAACGACAAAGTAAAACCAAAGGTAAACAAGAGTTAGCAGAGCTAGAGAACCTTGAAACGTTGATGCATAAAAGAAAATTCAATAAAGAAAAAGTAAGTTTTTTTGAGCGTCGTGTAAGTTTGATGAAAAGATCTGAAGAACAGAAAATCCAACAACGGTCCAACAATGAAATAGACTACGAAGCAATGGATAGATTAAACTATTTAAGATATCTCAATGATAAAAAGAATTCATGTGCAACCATAAAATCAAAATTAATCATGGAGGCAGGTTTTTTAAATGAAAATTCAAAATTATCTAATCTAAATACAATGCAGCGCAATCAATTAACGCAACGTTGCAAATCCGATTATACTATAAAACACGGCGAAACTGAAGATAAAAGTTTGCTCGAACGAAAACGTCAACTCGATTTTTTTCTACAAGTTGATGACTCTGATGAGTCTGATATAGATTCTCAAAGAACTTCAGATGCTAAAACATCTGTAATATTGAGCGAGTTTTATGATATTTTACCTAGATATAAATAAGAAATGTTTAATATTAACGCAATGAACGCAAGTAATCATCAGTACTGCTTTGAAAGTAGTTTAGTATAGAGTCCGCACAAATACACATAAAAAATGTAAAGAACTAAATATTAGAAAAGTTTTTATCAAAGCATCAGATAGGCAATTGTTTTATTACATAATACTTAATTAAAAATCATTTAAAATAACGTTATTTAAAACCAAATCATCATCATCAATATCATCATTGTCATCATCATCATTTATTCAAATTTACAAAGTGCACACGATTAAAGTGTCATTTTGAACTAAAATTTTTGTTTTAAAATTTTAAAGTTGGTTACTTTAAAATCGTTTTGACTTTTTTTCAACTTGAAGTTTGTTAGTTTAATTTTTGAGAATCGGTTCAATTTAAGATAAAAAAAAATGTTTATAAAAAATTTATTGTGCTTACAAATGGGTTTTAGTTTACGATTGTTTTTGTATAAGGTAGAGGAAGAAAATTTGTTTAAGGTAAATAAGGTAACTTAAATAATGTAAATTAAGGTTGTTTTTTTCAAAAACTTACTGTTATGTTCAAAATAATTTTGTTAACATGAACATACTTTAAATTTTACGTTTGATTAAATGCTATGTAATTGTGAACCGAAAAATGTCAATTTACTATAATTCGAAAATCTCTCTAATTCAAACTTTTATATTTCCCTGTTAAAGTTTGAATTAGAATAATTGTGCTGTATTAACACTACCAAATCTCTAAAGTCTTTTTACCAAGTTTGAAATTCTTATCACCTAGCCTCAAAATAAGATGTAAATATTGATTTTATGTATCATATTAGTCATAAAATTGTCCTATAACTTCCCAGTTAACACAGAAACGTTCGACGAACGTTGTGAACGTTCGAGCACGTTCTATGAACACTTATAGAACGTTCGTAACGTTCGTTGAACGTTCTTAAACGTTTTGTGTTAGTTGGGTTGTTAAAAAATATACATTTGCATCCAAGAATTTGCTTAGTCTTACTCTTGATGCGCAACAGTACTTTTCCTAAAAGCTGTATTGTTTTTCTTTTGACCTATGTAAATTTCTTTGATCTAAGTAAATTTCTTTTGATCTAAGTAAAAACTCTTCATAAAAAGACTAATACTTGTTTTGTAAATAAGTCGAATTGCAGAGTAATAAACAAAAACTTGATAATAATTGAGTTATAAGAGTTTATTTTAATTTATTTCAGTGATCATTTATCAAAAATATTTACAACTATCCGTAAAATTTTTACAAGTTTTTAAAAATGATTTTTTATTTGAAAATTTTTAACAAAGACGAGCTGCTTTAGGCACATCTGTCACACAAAGATCAAACATTGATAATATATTAAAAACAGGTATGAAGGGAGTTTCTTTTGAGTTATCTTTGTTCATTTCTTTCACTGCTATAAGTTTTCACTCAGCCGAATTTTGAATGTTAACATAAATTTGAATCACTTACTGTTTACGTATCATTTACGATAAAGTATTACCGTAATTGTTCGTAAGGGACAGCACACGATTTGCGAAGTTTAACAAGGAATAGCACACGGTTCCCAAAGAAGTTCTCTTGGCATAAAAAATTGTATTGTTGTTGACATGAAATAAAACATTTTTGATTTTTTTACTTTGACAAGTACAACATAAACGCAATGGGTATGTTTCTTTTACTCGAAACGATATAATTTACGCGTTATGGTATGAAAGCATATTCATTATGTAACATGAAATGCGTTCCATGCTAAATGACAATTGGTATATTGGTAGCTAAATCTTGGTTAATTGTTTTACAATCTTATTTCCTATCTAAGACACCTAAAGTGTCCCAGAAATGTGTGTTTTGTTTCTGATACTTGTCGTTTTGGTTGATTATATCGCAACTTTAGCAATACATACCTTTAGTGTCAAGGGAGTATTCAAGCCATGGGTTTTTCTCCTACAACTAAATTTGAAATGATCAACAGAGCTTTTTTCGAAATTTTTTTTTTCTATATATTTAATAAATATACATGTCTAAATAAATTGGTCATAGTTTATAGTTACTCCACTAAATTTTGTAATACAAGCGTTGCATATTTTGAAAATTGTCAAAGAATTAAATTTTTTCATAAATGAATCGGATATGTTTTAAATTCATCTGTAGATATTTCAATAACTTCTGTCATCACTGCTTGGAATAGTTTTAATTGTGAAAAACGAAACTAATCAGTGCATTCATCACTAATTTCATTTTAATTGCACTATGTTCATTTTAAATGCAGTAACAATTTTAACCACAGACTTTTGACCTTCTCTGCTGTTAAATTGTATTCATATGTCACATTTTTCTTTTTAATATTTCATAATTTACAGTTCTCTGAACCGCAGTTCAGTTTAAACTAAGTTTTTACGTCAGTAATTTTAAGTTAACTATTCAAAGAATTTAAAGATAATCAAGAAATTTTCATTTTTTCATACTTTCCAGTGTATATATATATATATATATATATATATATATATATATATATATATATATATATATATATATATATATATATATATATATCGCGACGTTAGAATTATCTTGTGCTATCTCCATGTTTTTGCAAACTGAGAAAATCGATGTCAAAGTTTGAATTTGTTCGCAGCTAAATTGAAAAAATATTTTGAGAATTTAGGTATCTCCTAAGATTTAAAAATGTTTTATTATTAATTTTTAGATAAAAAAAACTTTTTAAAATTACGCTAACGCCCTTTTTTTCGCACCCTCTTTTGGAGATAGAACAAAATAACTTTGGTTTTTAGTAAAATTCAAAAATATTATGTTGTTACATCATATATATTAAACATATTAAGTACATTTTTCAACAACGACATGTTAGAAATTGATGAAATTTTGTTCTACCTGCTAATTATTCTTACGCAGTACCATACACTCCTAATTTATGGGCATGGGCCCCTAAATTAGGGGCATGGGCCCCTAATTTAACGGGACCCTTTTCAAAATATAAGACGCTTTTTGTATTACCTAAAAAATTAAGTTTTTTTAACTAAAATGAGGCCCTAATTAGGAGAACTTTTAGAAGAGCCTCTAACGACACTGTTCTTACGACTTACATTTACTTTAATTACCTGTAGGCGCCGGCCCTGGACAAGACTAAGACGTCTAATTTAAAACGGAAAATTTGGCTGCGTAATAATAATATAAACGTATTAATATAATATAAACGTATAAAATAAATTATGAAAGGTATATAGGAAAGAGTTATGTTAAAAAAAATGTAATAATAAAAGAAATAACATTATGTAAATATCTGATAATTCACAACAATTCAACTAATCTAATCACAAACTCCATGCAAGATGAACTTGATTTTATTTTTCTTATGCCTGTGTATCCATTAATAGAGTTTAACTTTTTATTAAAAGTTATTGCAAATATTTACAAATAAAAAATTGTTACTCAAGTTAACGTCAGGAAGGGCATCAGGTTGTGAAACATTGCTTTAACTCTTTCATAGTGGCCTTTATGTCACTATGGAAAACCATCCAAACCAAACAAGTGGGGGAAAATGAATATAAAAGTACAAAAAAACAAACAAAAAAAACACAAGCTAAACAAAAATTTTTATCAAGATTTCAAAATATTATTATTTCAATGTGTTTTATATTTATATTTATACTAAATAAATATTTTATTTAAATATGTTATTTATATGTATATTATTTATATTATTATATATATATATAAATATGTTATTTATATTTATACTAAACATATAACAACCCTAAAAATATTTTGACTTTATTAATGTTTTGTAAATGTTCAATTTATTATTGTTTTATAAAATGCAATATCAACAGCAGGCATGTATGAGTACATGGAAATGATATCATTGGCTTTTGCAACAGATATAGACTGATAAGAAGCACGAAAGCAAGCTGCCATTGGTATATTGGTATTTAATGGTTTTGCAACAATGGTTGATGCTGCTTTCTTGACAGACTTATTTATACGAGCTTGTGAATAATTATTTGAAAACGAGGTTTTAAAAAAAACATGGTATGGCAGTCCATTTCGATAAACAAGATTTTTAACCTTTGAATAAGGCACTAACTTATAACTTGACAAACCAGCGACAACTGAAAAATTCTTTACATCTCCTAATTGCATTTGGTAAACACAGAAAGGTTTTTTACGGTTTACATTTTTAATAGCTCTTTCTAGCCCAAGTGGACTAAATATTTCTGCAGCAGAGAGGGATTTTTCAATCTGACTATGAATGTTGTCACATTCTTGAATGCTGGAATGATCTGGCTCGCAGAACTTCTGTTCAATTACTTTTATTTGTGGGTATCTTATTATAAATTCACACAAAGCTGCTGACATGAAACTATTGCGGTTTTGTGGTACACATGAATCGAACCAAAGTATGAACTTATTTATGTCAAGGTCAGCCATGATTTTCAAAAGCAAACATGTTACAGCACTGGCTAGATCATTTCCTCCACGACCAGTCATGGCTTCGTGCCAAAGGATGCAATAACCCTTCCTGTTAAGCGAGCAATGACCAGTTAAATTATAATTTGAAAGTTTTCGTTTGTAATAAAAGTTTCCCACATTAGCTCTAGGCAAATTTAAAACATTTTCAAGGTCAATACAAACAATTGCAGTTTTAGAATCAACATTTTGGCGATCATTTTCACGTTCAGTTTTGGTATCATTCCTTGATTTTATGTGCTTATTATAACTATCTGTTTGTTCATTGCTTGCATTAACAATGTTGCGATACTCATAGCATGTGTCACATAAATCTTTCTTCGGTTTTTGAAATTCTATATTGAACTCGTGATTAAAGATATAACGATACATATGTTCTTTTGCTGGAGGAGAGACATTTTCATCACAATATATTTTATAAAGATCATACATTCTACCTATATTTAGTGATCCTTCCATGTATTCTTTATGTGTCTTTTTCCTGCTATAATGAGCATCAATTCTTGGGAAAAGGTTAATATGGTCTCGTACAACTTGTTTAGACTCTTCTAGTAACCTTTTTTTAACATGTTTCCCTGATTTTGATTGCAATGGTGTTCCAGTAGTTAAAGATTTATTAAACTTATGAAAGTAAAACACTCTATGGCTGC